TACCAAATTTATAATTGTTCCTTTTCTCAATATCTCAATAGCAAAGAAAAGACAATCATAAAAAAGTACAATTATTTAAATAGAAAATCTCATGCTCCAGTAGAAAAAAAATGCTAATATGGAAGAAGAAGGAAATCAACAAAGAGAAAGGATCCATAGAGGCAAGGGGCACTGGTAACAAGTACAAAGAAAGTGGCACATGGAATCTTCTTTTTTTTTTTTTTTCAGTGTAGAGGAGAATAAGCCAGAAGGAGAAAGGGGGATACAAGTGATCACAACTAATCAAAGTGGCGCATGCAATGGTTCAAAGTTTGACACCTAAGACTCTACAAGATAACCAAGCTTCCAAGTAACAGAAAATACATTAATTCATTTTAGTGTTCAGTAGACAAGTAAATCTATATGTAATTGTCACTGTGTCATGTGTGCGGACACACTTAAGAGGGGAAGAGACAGGATGTACCCTCAAAATTTGAGCCTCATAACAGAATTTTTCCTGTGAATACAATTCTATTTCTTTCTCAAGCCTAGATATATCCAGCTCCAGTTGTGGAGAAGATGCCTGTCCTTGCATAGCTTTTAAGGTAGCAAGAGTATCTTCACTTCTTGAAATGTCCTGGATAAGGGCAAATCAAATAATTTCACTCATCAGTAGAAAAAACAAGGGAACAGAAAAGCTCATGATCAGTAATACATTACCTGAAGTAGATGCTTAAAGTCAGAAAATGCCTTTAGGAGACCCAAGTTGAGTACCCTAGCAGTCATAAAGAAGCATTCACAAATAAATGGATATTTAGCTTTTTCACCACAACTTGTGGTTGGCTTCACATTGAGGGTACTGCCAGAACTGGTAGCTTCTTGAGATTGCAGCGAATGATTTTCACCATCACCATGTAGTCTGCTCCCATCAGTTTTCACAAGATTATCTTTATTAATCCATTCAGCAACTTCTTCCGAGGTTGCATACAGTGCAGTTAGCCCCCTAACATAGGTTCACTATCAATACTTAGGAAAAGAATTCAAACCATATAACAATTAGAAGCAAAATGCTCTCCATTGGAATAAAAGGCCGTCACCTCCAATCTAAACGATTACTGTCGAATACATAGTTTGGATTAATTTTATCTCTTTTTGTTAAATTTGCATCCAAAAATGGTTCAGAAAGTCGAAGCATAACAGCGCTGAGATTGACAAACATGCCAGAAGTAGCACAAGACATAGCATCCACCTGTCATACATGTCATCAACAACACTTGTCAAAGAGGCTAGAGGATAGCTACACAACCAGATATAAATATTCCTAAAGGTTGAAAGGATCAAATAATCAGTGGAATACCATTAAAAAAGGACTCATGCTTTTATTTAAAAAATTCTAAGGTAGAACAAACCAAAGAACAAATTCTCATTGATCAGCATGCAGTATTAACAGCCAAAATTAAGCTCTTGATAATTGATATGCATTATTACTGAAACTCAAAAAGTTATAAAGGAGGAAAACCTGTATATGGGCCCTTGATGCATTTTTATTGATGACTTCTGCAAGATAGTCGAGGACACTCTCACGGGTCTCAGTGTTTTTAAGGAGACACAGAAGAACATCTGATAGACCAGCATATAATGTATTCATGAGAGTCTTGATTGTGGTGAATGAAGATGATAAGTCAGCTGCTCGTCTGGTTGATGCATCTGAGAAGCACTGCTGGCTGTATTTTCAAGAGATACAATTTATTACTAAGCAAAAGCTGATAGAAAAAATTATTAAAAAAAGATAATTGCATAAAACTATTAAGGGTGAGAAAAAAAAATTGACCTATTAAACAAACACAATGGCATGGATCTTAAATCACAACTTATAATTCCAAAGGATCCATAAAGTATATTAATAGAAAGAAGAAGAAAGAGAGGAGAAGTTTTGTTCCTGCAATATTTCATCTTGGTAATAAAGAAATTCAACCATCAAGTGGCTTCCAAATAAATAAAGACCAGCATCAAACATCATCCTCTGGAACAAACTCAAGCACTTCAACAAGCCTCTCTCAAATGTAAAAGAGAAAATCTTCTTAGTAGTATAAAATAAATCAAATTTAATCAAACCAAAGCACAAGTTGAAAAGTAGATCACATGGACGTAAAAATAAGTCAACTTAGTACCAAACTATCCAACCTTATTCCAGTGAACAACAAGAACTATTCCAGTACAGTTGTAGAGGATAATGATAAGGTAAAAAAAAAAAAAACAACTTATAGGTTAAAATCTAGCATCAGTTCAAGACTAGACAACATCAACAAAAGCCAACTATAAATCCAAATTCAGGCAGGAAGGCAGCCTTCAATGAGAAAACAATTACTCTATCTTCCCATTAGAGGTCACTCCCAAAAAACACTGAGACGAGCAACCAAGACACATGCACCAAATTTTGAGTCAGCCATCCACAAAGATTCCAATAGTCCCCATTACCAAAACGACAAGGGCAGCCATTCACTGCCATTGCTAGCCCACTATCCCAGCACATCTCTATTAGGTAACCGCACCAAGCAAAGCTGGACAAGGTAATTAAACAATGGCATTCTGATGTCATCCAGCTCAAAACTGAAAATCTCTTTCCTTTCACAAGTATTTACAAATGCACAGGCAGGATACCATTCTGAAACATCACTCAACACTTGCTCAAATGAGCAACCCTGATATAAATGCTTCCTAATACTGTCTATTATAACAGCATCAAGATCAGTGCCCTAGTAAACTATGCACAGACAGCGCTAGTTTGAACTCCTTAAATTTTACCAGATGTCCAAATCTTTAATGTTTCAAACAATTCCACAAAGCAAAATTGCAATCTTCAATGCTGGCAATGTTTTCAATAACTCCTTGATATCTGCTCCATAGCCACAAGAAGTCTTGAACCCAATTAAATATGATAGTAGCTAAATATATAAACATAATTAGGTAATACTCTCTCTCAATTAACATCACACAACTAAAAGAAGCATTACCACAAACAGCACATACACATACACGCGTGCCACAAACACAAAATCAGCATCACAACTCACCCAACATCAGGCAGACTCTTGAAAATGGTATGATCAGGCAAAGCACTAACATGAAGAAACGGACCCAAAATGCTAGTCATTTCAATAGCACGTCCATTCAGGTAAGCTCCTTTAGGAATCCACCAGGGATGATTAACCAAGCTCTTAGCACCAACAGAGAAATTAACCAAATACAACAATGCCCTCAAAGGTTGCTGAAAATTTCCCAAAGCTGAAACGTTCAAAACACTCCCTCTTAAATCCTCATACAACCCTTTTAAAATCGGGTCCAAAGTATCAAAATCCGAATCCTTAAAGAACTCTTCCAAAAACCCAGGTGGACAGTCCACCCCACTTCCCAATTTATTCCCTCCAAACCCATCAAGCATTACTCCACTTGAAACTTCAGCAAAAACTAATGGCAACAAAGGCGAATTAGAAGACAGAGAAGAACCCGCTTTCGGGTTACTGTCCCTTAAATTCCCATTAGAAAACAACTCAGGATTTCCCAGATGAATCCTAACATAAGAAACAGCCAACTTCTTAGCCTGTCTAGCAGCAGACTCCATCTCAGAACGCAGCGGTTTGTCTTTCATATTGGAAATCTTCTTGATTTCTTCATGAGCTCTCTTGTAACAACCAATGAGATAATTAAAAGGAGATTCTGAATCGGGAAATTGACCAGAGAGACGATCAATTAAAATCCTTTCCATTAAATCACGTGAAAGTAAAAGACTTTTGCCTTCACTTAAGATCTCAGCAGCTGCCATCTCAAGGTAAACAACTCTTGGATCAGAAGTAGAAGAGTTTTCATTAAGGGTTACAAGGAAGATTTTCCTTAGGATTATATCCTCTATTTCTTGTGGGGTTCTTTGGGGTTTTTGGGTAGCCATAGTTTTTAAGAAAGAAAGATTAAAAAGAATTTGAATTTTCCCTTTTTTTCCCTGAGAAACAAACAGGGCTGTTTATTCCTGGGAAAAATTTTCGACTTTTATCATTGGGGAGAAATAAGAAAAGAGAGATATTTTGGGATGTTTGGGAGACTTAGGGAGGAGTTTATAGCGGGTTGGACGATGTCGTTTTATGATGAAGAAGAACTGCTGATTGTGTTCCGTTTTTCCAAGTCTTTGTAGACTACGATGTTGAGTACTTAGGTTGATGGTGCAGTAGGTTGGCGGCATGCCATCACATGAAGTTCCTCTGTTGAAACATTAAAGAGAAAATAGAGAAAATAATTTTTTTTAATTTACGATTTTACTTTAACTCCTTGATTTCTGTCTTCTTAAAAAATACTTTGCCGTAAATCGTTATGAACATGTAATTTTCAAAATTTTAATCAACATGAATGCTCTTTGAATACTCATTTGTTGAAAAAAAAATGGAAGAATAGGATAGAAACAATATATTTGTTTCGAATGCAACTTTATCAAAACATATAAAGAGGTTTGGTTATTAGAAAGAATTAAATTTACTAGAATGTAACTTGTTTTTTGGATAGATAGAAGCAGTGTCAAGATGCAAATTGATAGGTAGGTTGTCTATTAATATTCATAAATTTTGAAAAATAAAAAATTTAGAAAAATATTTTTTGGAGATTTAAAAAATACACTCACTACAAAAAGTGGATACTTCAGGAAAAAAAAAATCTTGATTAGACATTATCATTAAATAGAAGATACATATGAACATTTACTTTAATCATAAATTCACCATGATAGTATGACCTGAAAAGATTTAAGTTCACATTTTGTTATAAGCTCATTGTGTCTTTAGACTCTATATACTCCTTGCCTTCCCATTGAAACTACTAGTTTGACATGATAAAAAATTGAGGAAAACAAAGCTTGCAAACATTGGAATAAAGATGGAAGAGATTGCATTTCAGAAACTGATTACTAATTCCATTGCATCTTCATGGGGAATGTTTAATAAAACATGGAAGAGTCAAACAAGGTGAAATTTGAAATGCCTGGAAACTTTTGGGGATAGATGATGCTGATGCAGTTTGACATATCTGCAAACAGTGTCAAACAATTGAGATAAATCTCATCTTCTATGGAAAGCTCTCAAATCTATCGAGTACAAAACTTGTTGTTATTCCTAGTATCTTGCCATCGATGACAAAATAGAAAGAAAAAAAATTACAGAATGAATCAGTATGTAGCAGGTTGCTGTATCAGTTGATCCATATAACTCAACTTCCATCAAATGGACCGTTTCGCCAGAAAAATCAAATCAAGGTTTGCATCATATCGTTTTAAAACAAATCTAGACTTTAGATTTCAGGATAAATTCGTAACTACTTATCAAAATCAGATGAACATAACATCGAATTCTTCGGGTTGGCAGGACCAAATAGCAACTCCACGCAGAAGGCAGGGCCACAAATTGATCTGCCTTTGCTCCCAACTTTGTCCAAATCCCGGATGGTAAACTGCCAAAGTTAAATGCAGATGAATGACAGAAAATTGTTCCCTTTTCTTTGTCTCTAAAAGCAGGGAAGCATATTAAGAAACCATAAATATACCTGTAACAAGCTGTTTTTAATGAAGGCTGTATTGAAACAGGCATAAAAAAGGCGGCCTCCAATCATTTTTTGATAGAATATGATGCGCATATCTCCACTAACCTGTCCAATCCAGTATGATCATGTTCATGCTTTTGTACTAAATGGTGAAGAAGAACATAAATTTGAAGAAATGCCAGCCAGACTTTTTGAGCAAATCCAAATTCCCAACATGTTTCCAGACAATTCACCATTTACATTAAGCACAAAATTCCACGCATACTAGAAGTATAGTTTCCTTCATTTCTTTTTCTTTTATATTTGAAGTTGTGGATTTAACTATGATTACTGAAACTAAAAATCCAGCATTCTATCAACAAATCACGCGACTGTCAGTTCTTTTTATCCAAAGAAAGCCTTAACTTGGAATAGAGGAAGGGGATGCAAGTGTTAGGATCTGAATCTCATACTGCTACATGTCACCTAGGATGGGTGCAAGAACCAACTGAGCCAAGCTATCAGTTTTTTCATTCAATTTAATGTAACAAATAAGGTTAAATCCGGCTAAATAATTACTCTAATGTTGATATAAGTCCTGAATATTCTGCTAGGTTCTTCAAAGTTTTTTTCTTAGCCTAACTCAGAATTTCATATGATACATTATAGCAAAGCAGACATAAATGAATACAGGTGCAAGTGACTTACTTGCACAGGTTTACTGAAATGATAGTCAAGACAGGTCTTCTGGTATAATACAGGACTCTCTGTGTCCATTTGGACAACGACACGAGGTTCTGATTCTGATGTAGTCCCTTCTTCGTCCCCTTCAACAAATGACAAGAAGTATCGAGGACTGCAGTTTGCCTCACATCCTTTTGTGATTTCTCTACAGCAACGCTTGGCAACTTCCACAGGTGGATGGTACAACTGACCAGGAATCTGTGGAATAAGGGTGATAAATTAATTGATAATATCTTGTGAGAAAATAAAGAGAAGAAAATTGCTGAAAATAGAGATAAACTTCATATGACTGATCAGGAAACAGTAGAGAATGGAATCACAATAATAGTCCAACGTACATGCTTGCCACAAAACAAGAGTTAAAGAGAAAATGAAAAAACATTTCAAGTGATAAATGATTGCATTTTGGAAAACTTCAGATCCCTCAAGTCTGTTTCAAAAATAAAGAAATACTAATTCATGACATTACAAACTGATTGCCAACAGCCTTGTAGTCTTATTGGTAGAATACTAGACTTTTAATTCTAGTGATCAGGTTCAATCCCGAGTAATCTCAAGTACCAAATACTTAGATGCTAAGTTCTAAAACTAGCATGTCAACCTACATTTAAACAGCAGCTAAACTTTATGCAGGCAACAAGAACTAATGACTATTAAGGTTTGAAGTGGCTGTTAATTAGGAGCCAATGCACACTCATTGCAAATTTGACCTAATAATAGAAGGAAAAATATGTTGAATTGGGCTTAATTTTAGGTTTCCTTGATCATTTACAAAATTTTCTAGTTGGCTCTTGAGATTTGGTTAAAGATATGTGAAACCAACCTCTTTTGATATTATGAAACTTTAGTGGAATTTACAACTTGACTCAGTGGCATGAATGAACTAACCTCTTGGAGCTCTGAGACCACAAAGAAGACAGAGGTGGTGTTAACTGTGTCATAAAGCCTAATCCGCCACAATTCTCTGCTACATGGTTGAGGCAAGTTCACATCTGGAGGTCCATTGCTAACTCCCGTAGGAAAAGAAAGTATTTTTTCCCAATACCCCACATACCGACGTTGGCTTGGTATAGAGACCTATCAGCAGGAGTGCAGAAAGTTAAAACAGCGAGAATGCATAATACAACCAATATTCAAAGCGCGGTAATGTAATGAAGATATTCAGTGAGGATGTGCATTCCTTGATATAAAATTTTGGAGTTACATGATGTTTGTTACAAGTTCATTACAATGTTTTGACTAGTCACAATGTTCTGCAATTTCAATCTTTTCTAGCAGTTAATTCTTTGATAAATCCGAATATATATCTGATTAGTTGTTTTTATTTCATTAACAGCAATCAGCTGATGCAGCTTACTTCATCATCTATTATCACATTGCAAAATTCTCTTGTTATACTTAATAACTACTTACTCCTTCGTTGTTGGTAGTTCGTTTTTGGGCATATAGCTGAAATGCTTCCTCTGCTAACATGCCAGTGTAAATAAGGTAGGCACACACCATTAAGCCAGTTCGACCTTTGCCTGCCTGCAAATTCAAAAGATGTGAAGCTTGAGAACTTTATTGAATCTGATAAAGAAAAATAAACACCACGGGGCACAACCATCATTTTTAGGTTGATAAACATCTATAAGGAAACAATTTTGTATACATTTAAAACAGCAATCAGACTAATGTCTGCACTTGGTGACCACTAAAGTTGCAAGAAATATTCATACAAAGACATATAAATGCAATGAACCCTGTATTTCCATTATATCTATAACGAACCTACTGAAAATCTTTAAGATAATTAATGAATCAAAACAACCAGAAATGAGATGTCAAAGCTAGCTATGTATACGAACCCGAAGCTTAACCAATTGGTTCATACAGTCACCTTAAGAAGTGGCATCCAGCCGGTCTAGGTTCAAATCCCAGTACCTGCAACCCCTTTTCTTTTCCCTACACTACAGTATCTTTTTACCAAAAAAAGCTTGTGGTATCTTCTTCCTTAAGAAAGTTTGAGGTGTTGGATTTGACTCCTGGACTCATGGCATGTCTGGGGTGTAAAGAAAAAGGATGACTGCATGATCACTCATCATGTAAAGCAGACATTGGATTGAAGAGAAACAAAGAGAAAAGAAAGAAGCATGCTGGTAATACCATGCAATGTATGACTGCAATATTTTTGGGGTCATTTGACAGCCATGAATGCACACTCTCGCAGAATAACTTCATCATTTCGAAATTTGGAACGTGATTGTCATCAAAAGGAAACTTCTCAACACGGCCATGAAAGTGTGATGGATCATAGTCTTCTTCTATGCACAAGTTGTAGATCTGGGAAATTGTCAAAGAAATATTAGTTCTGTCTGAAATTTTTTAGGGGAAATTTGTAAAAGGAAAGGTAAGGTAGAAATGAAAGTAGTTTTCGTAAAAGTCATCAGTGAAGATATATAATCAACAAATGAAAGGGCATCTTGTAATGTACGTTTTCTATGTTAATTGAACTTTGCAGCCATTCATTAATCAAGTGAACAACTACTCTGTATTTTCCTACTCCTAGTGTAACCTAGGACAGGATGATAATGGCTGCCAATTTATGCTTCTAACACAGAGAGTAAGAGATGCAATGGCCAATGAGTAGGAAAAGAGACAATATTTGCACAAATAAGACGAAAAGTTACTTTAAAAGATTGCAGATAGAGAAACATGATTGTTCACATTCAAAGTACATACTTCACCTTGTAATGCCCCTGATGTCTCATTTCCAGCACAGACTTCACCTGCCATAGAGGATTACGATACATTGCTCGCATATGTTCAGCAGGAAACGACATTGCCAATACACGATCTGTTATATATGACATGTCCAGATCATAGCCACCAACAACCATCCGCCTTCTTTTCTTGGACACCAGGTTCCGAATAAAAGAACTTGCCGTAAGATAAGAGAGCATTCGGTTCTGGAGGACTAGAGTGGTGTTTCCAGCCTTTCCTGGCACTTGCTTTGTAAATTTCAACCCCATTTGGCTGATACCTGTGACAGCTCATTAATGCCAAGGTACATGCTAAACAATGATGCATTCCCAAAGATAACTGCATAAATTTCATGGGGCTTGGGAGGCCAATAATATGCGCAAAATTGAATCTGATATTTTTGAAGAAACCTAGATAAATATATATATATATATGCTCATATATGATTAAAGACCAATAAAAAGAAATTAGTACTTTCTGAAAATATGAGAACATATTTTTCCTAGTTTCCATATAAGAACCAAATAAAGAATAACCAGCTGTTGTAAATTTACTCCGATTACCTCATATGCACATAAAAGAAAAAAAAAAAAAAAGAACCAGCAAAGTGTAAAGGAACAAGAGGGTGCAAGAGAAACAGAATGTACCAATGGGGTTGAACATGAAGTTCCGATTCACTGACTCAAAAAAGAAAAATGGAATGGAAGCAATTCCTATGATTCCCCAATGAATGTATTGAAAATCCTTTTCAAAAAATTTGGGAAAACATAGAAAATGCTTTCATTTCTTCAAAAGGTGTAAGTGTCAGGGGGGCCAGGAGATATGCTGGATGATGATCTCCATATTGTTTTAGTTACACCCCCAGATGGAAAGAGAAACTGATAGTGAGATATTTTGGATATTCTGTGCTAAATTTGGAAGGAGTTCTGTCTCCAGCTTTCAGCCCCATATTTGGAGCAAAATGAGGCAATAACATAGCTCTTTCTCTCCCCTCCAGGAAATGTAGATAAAGGGTGTCATCCATGTCAACCAAAATACAGTTAGGAGGGATGGCATGGATAACTGAAACTTATAGGACTGTTTGGATCATCAAAGTTCTTTTTTGTCATTTTCATTTATCCTAGGTTATTGTCCTGTTGGGTTGGGTTGATATAAAGGCATTTAATGGATCATGATACTGAATTTAACTAAAACTAAAAACCGTCTGGATTAAATTATAACATTAGCATAACAATCAGTGAAGAATGATCAACTTCAAGGCAACTTGTTGGAGGAAGTGGTGGCAGGTTGGGATCAGTATGAGTTTCAACTGAGTCATTTCCATTTTTTTTTATATTCTTATTGATTTGAGTCATCCGACTTTTGGATTCAATCAAGTAGGATTTAAAGCAGATTGAATAAATTTTCTGAACTCAGGTCAACTTTTACTATATTACTAGCCAAGTATAAAGTGAACTCTGAGGCAGGACCAGCTTCGGATCCTTTCCTTGAACACTCAATCTAAAGTCTTGCGGTTGGATTTTTAAGAGACATTGAGTTGAGAGAGATTATTAAAATTTGTTTAGCTTACCAAAAGTTTATCATATTATACAAGTACAATGTTCCCATGATTTCCATGTTGAATATTCTGCCAAAGGAAATAAGACTTTATTGGATGACAGTACAGAATGACCAAAGAACTGCAGCAGCTGCTTTTATTCTAGATGGTCATGTGGCCTGATTGACATGAACATGGCAGCATATTGTAGCAACCGGCGGTCACTGCCGTTTCCATTTTCCATAACAGAAACCATAGGACCTCTAGTCCTCATTCTGTAATGCCGCCAGGCAAGTTGTATATTCACAGCTGCCCATGTCCGCCAGTTGGATGAATAGTATCTTGCTGTTCTCTTAAGCCTCTCATTGGCAAATTTGTACCTGAAGTGATCAGTGATGTATCTGAGATGGTTGGCATCAAGACTAAATGCTTCAATTGACTCTAAACAAACAAATGTTGCAGATGAGGCTGGAAGACGGTCTATAAATGGGCGGCGAAGACACCAAGAGAGCAGCTCATCACCCAAAAAGCCTCCTGGCTCAATTATACTCGTTGCAACCATGCCTTTGCTCAGGCTTTGGCTACGCTTTATGCGTCCACGAACTATAAACACCATTCTTTGCACAGGATCTCCTTCTCTAATTATCTGTTTCATGGGAACATTAACAAGTTAAACAACCTTGTACAATTTTGTAAAATGGTAGAGATAACATTAAACTTCATAAGCTCCTACCTTTTCATCTTTAGAGAAGACAAGTGGCTTAACTCGATCGCAGATGTTGTCAAGAATAAGATCATCCAAGTTGTGGAACAGAGGAACCTGAGAGAAAGAAATTGCAGTTGAATTGGATTCATTGGAGAAAGCCTCAAATTAGTCTTGTTGAACTTGTAATGTCCTATTACCATTTATATTAGTACCTTTTTGATGAGGTCAAGGCAAAGATAGCGCTTAATGTCCCTCCGCAGGCCTTCAGGTAAGTCTTTGATTAATTCCATTTCATCCTCTCCTCCCAAAGTCGCCCATTTCTGACGTTCAAAGTGGCGAACTCTTTGTCTTAAACGGGATGGTAACTGCCTACGCTTCATCCACCATTCCATATCTCGACATCTCAGCTGCATTTTTCTCTTCTTAGCCATGACCGCATGCAGGAAAACCTTGGTAGTAAAAAGGATCCATTGTCAGTTAAGTTGGCTAGGAAACTTGACCATATTAACATATCCATAGAAAATTGTTTAAGTGTGTTTCCACTCACCTGGATGTTTCCAATCAATAGAGTGAAGAGCAGCAATCCAGAAAGCACAATGCATATACTGAAGATCACTTCTAACCAGTGACTTGTTGGTTCAAGATCATTTCCAAAGGTACTGCAAATGGAACATGGTGAAGAAAAAATTTCAAGATTCAAGGGCGGTTTTTATCAGAAGTTAATATTAAATTTTAAAGCCAATGATAGGACAGTTATACAGGCGTAGGACATCCTGCCCCAAGATTCTGCTGCTTCAGAAATATCATGTTTAAACAAACTGATATAAAAGGTGCAGTTTTGTGAGTGTGACTGATGAGCTTTGAATTACCTGAGAGTCATTAAGCCCCAAAATATGGGATAAAGGATCTTAACAACAACAGAATTGCTAGAAACAACAGGAAGAGCCCACTGATAGATCCCATAATTGAATGGTCCATGAACATCTAAGCATAATGGTTTTCCAACAACTTTTGTTGAGTTACGACCACAAGTATTTCCAAGTGCTTCCACTGGAAATAGAAACTGGTAGCACACCTCCTCTGAGCAAGACAAAGACAGTTTGCACTGCTCATTCCTCTCACACTGTTGCCGAAGGCATAAGGCAACACGCTGTATTGCAAGAACATACCAGCACCCTCCAGCAACCTGCACACCAAAATCATGAAATGCAAAATCAACAATGGAAGAGCAAACCCTTGTTAAAGTTTGTGTGAAAATGCAACTTACATGAGAGGCTATGAAGTAGGCTATGAGATTAAGGCCAAAACCCCACCAAATGGTGCCAAAGATGTAACCTGTGACCTTTTGCATACTTCTCATCAAGCAAATACTGTGATAAACCTTTGGGAGGAATTGGAACAAGAAGATTAATAACAGTATAGTCATTATAAGCTTGATCTGCTCTTCCCTGATTAATTTTGGTACAACTAACCAGAATACTGCCTGCAAGATAATATAAAAAGGAAATTTAATGGTATAATCCTGGAAATATATTTGAGAACGTCAGTTTTCTTAATCTGCCAGGTAAACTACAATTCTCCATGGAACATGTAATCTTTTTACTACAATTCTACACGCTTGGGAATTATTCAAAGTAATAATGTTAGAATTAGCTTTTTAATTGAAAATCGCAAATTGGCATAGGCGGATCCACATATATAAGTTAAGTGTCATGGACAGTCTCAAAAATTGAAAAAAAAAAAAAAAAAAAAAAAACTTAGAGGAAAAATTTTTTCATGAATATCCCAAAATTTTTTAGCAAACACATTTTCCATCGACAAAATTAGTAAATTTATCAACAATTTTTTAAATATATACTATATGTGAACATTAAGAAAATACTGAATTTGCCACTACAAATTAGGATATAAATCCAAGCCATCCCCTTCTTAACTACAAAACAAAATTCACGCAAATGGGTATCATCTTCCAGGACAAAATATCCAACAAGGAAGAAACAAGAAATTTTGTTCGTAATGATAAAAGATGAACAGCAACCAGTTGCTATGGAAGCAACCAAAGTAATTGTCAACAATCTCCTTGTCCAAAAGGAAAAAGGCTACTTGCTGTAAGATCATTATCAGAAATCTATACTAAAACAAAAAGTGATAAGTAGGATTCAAAAAATACCAAAACACATTATATCTCATGGTGGGTTGTGGGGGCACCCACTTAATATTCTTCACTTTTGGACCTCAGCTCTTCCAGATCACATAATTTTGCCCTAAAAGCTTATATGTATAAAGTCACAAAATCTATGCCTTTTTTCCCTTCCAATGGGTCAGAAAATCATTGCTAATCTTGTTGAAATTAGCCATCAATAACAAATTCTCAAATCCTTAGCTGTGTTAAAGAAAACAACAATAATAATAATAATAATAATCACGTTAAAAATATATTCCAAAAGTAAGAACTGTAAAACCTATAATGGGCTATTGCTAATTGCCATAGTGTATGTAGTAATTTAGCCTAACTCAAAGAGAGGAGCATAAGTCCGTACCCTACCTCTTGGTTTAGTGATTAACAAGATTTTATGAAGATATAGAAATTTTAATTCGGAACCAAAATCTCTTCTTTCTTTTCTTTTTATAAAAGCTATGCCCTCCCTGAATCGGACAAAAAAAGAGAGGAGCATAAATCCAAAATTGCCAACAGACCACTTTCTGCATGATGATCAATGGACCTATATTCACGGTTATGTTTTGCTAAAATTTTATAAAAATCAAAGCATCATTTATACATCAGCATACAATCATAATTGAAAATCTCATTTATTTCATTTTATAAATTAAAAATTTTATATTTATATATATATATATAAAGATTATATTTTTTATAATTAAAATTATTGTTTAATCATTAAAATTAAAAGTTCAAACTCTTTACGATGCAATATTGTTAGCTATAAGACTATATTTGGTTTAACTTGTCGGGAAATTTGATGACGTGGCAGCTATTTTAGAGTAAAATTTGAAAAAATTAAAAGAAAAAAAGAGGTAATTTAGAACTAACAAACCTGAGGAACTGGGAGAATGACAAAGGCATCAAACCAGAAACCTTTAAGGGAACGAACATAATGAGAAGCTATGGTACGTGCGTCCCACACAAGTTTACCGCAACCGACGACGAGGGACTCCCTTGACACGTACGCCAGCCTGAACTGAAGCCACAGATGGAACAAATGCACGGCGTCGACACCCGTGCGAAGGACGGTTACAATCGCAGCAAGGCCACCATCCATGTACAAACAAGGAGAACCACCTCTGCCTATTGATAAAGCATAAAAAAACAGAGGATCAATAGCTAAGGCCATGCCACGAGCCAGTAAGAACGCCCGATTCCATTTCTGCACGCGCTTGCTCCTCGGGTCAAGCACGCTT